GCTTCAAAGTCCATGCTCCTACTACCCACAATGTAGCCCTCATCTCCCATACAGGTGGGACCCCCACACAGAGGCTGGGAAATGTTAGGGTTCCAGGGATGTGCACATCTCTCAGAGCCCAAGAGGATGAAAGTGAAGACAAGGTTTAAGCTTGGGAGGAAATGGACAATGGAGAAAGCACGTTCACACACATTTAGCTCACTTGACCTTTACGACATGCCCACAAGGTGGACAGTTCCTGTGATCCAGGGTTGACCAGGTTGGTCAAGATGGAGGTGCCTGGGGGAAGGGAGGGTATTCCCTCTCACTGGACAGCAGTCTACACCCCCGCAGCCCCTCCTTAGCTGAGTTGTATTTTGGACTCCTGCCTGGCCTTACTCGGGGCTTGCTCCTCTTCTGAGTCACATGTTAACAACATTCAAGGCCATTGCTTCAAGCCAGGCTATGCAGGGTTGATGGCCCATGGAGGCACATGCAGAGGGTGTGCCAAGGGAGAGGCAGGAAGGGGCAGGGGAGGCTCCACAGAGCCCAGAACCTTCTGCTGTTTGTCTGCCCGGGGATATTCAGGTGCCCCTGAGATAGTCAAGCATCTCCCTCAAGGTTGTGAGGTGATGCAGAGCCCCAGGCACGCTGGGAGTTTAATTTTAGCATCAGCTGGACCTAATTAGTTAGTTTGGAGGGGGGCAGGCCCTTTCACAGAGGACTCCATTGTTCCTGGGAACCTGGCAGGAGTGTTTATCATTTCAGAAACCCAGAAGGAGCTAGCATTCTCCCTCTTGGCCTTGGGGCTGTCCTCCTTTCAGATGCTAATCCATAAAGCCACTCCAAGCCAGGCCTCAGAGGAAGCTCAGGGCTGAGATGGAGCCCAAACTCTCAATTCATTCAAGAGCAAGGCAGGTGTGGAATCAACACCTGGAAAGCAGCCAAATGGAAACCTGGAGCAACAGCTCAGAATGTCATAGGTCAAATAGTTTAATTGGGTAATCATCTGAAGGAGGGTTTGTGCAAAACCTGCGGGAAGTCTGTACCAGGAGTGTGAGGGAAGAATCCAAGAATACAGTTCAGTCTGCCTACGCCTGCCTCAGCCCCACACAGCCCGGGGCCCAGGACCTGGCTGGATCATTCTCTCCCAAGAGAGGCTCAGGAAACAGGATCTAGTGATCCCCACCTTAAGAGCTCTGGGCAAGCAAGCATTCCTGGAGCTGCAAGGGCACCCAGCCCCAAATGCCCACCAAATGTGACCAGTCCCAGAACACAGCAGGCAGTGGAGTGCAGTGGTACCTGTCCACATTCTGGTTCATGCTGCATGGGTTTGAGTGCTGGCCTTGCTGGGGGTGAGCTGTGTGACTTTGGGCAAGTCATTTCTCTGTGCCTCAGTTTTCCCATCTACAAATGGGATGATAGTAGTACCCACCTCTTAGGGGGATTGTGATAATTAAATGAGCTCATACATATAAAGATCTTAGGATTGTACCTGGCCTTCAGCAAACAGTTATGCATCGTGATTATTACCCTTTTCTCCTGCTCTGGGTCAACTGCAGGTCTCCTGCTGGGATGATGGCATGCTTGTTTTCCATACTATGTGTCCAGCTTCTATACTACTCTGACTGTACCCACTCAGGGCTGACCTGGTTCTCTGGGCTTAAGTTGGTGGCAGGGCCCTGTTTCCACCTATATGAACCCCCCACTCGGCCACCACGTCCCTCTCCATTGCTGACCCATCGAAGAACTGCCAATGGGGCCTGAACCCAAATGACACGGCTCCCCATGACTCCAACCCCCTGGGCTGGTGGGAAGGATACCAAGCACTTTTCTCTTTTTGGGCAGAGCCACTGGCCAATTCTCCTGTCTCTCTATTCTCCCATTTCACCCACAACGAGGTCCCAGAGGCCTTATATTCTAGCAAGGGGAAAGGTGGGTGTGCCTGGATCAACAAATACTTTTGCCTCCATTCTTCACTTTCGTCTTTTATGGCCCAGCTCAAATGTCACGTCTTTGGTGTGGCTTTCCCTGATTCTCGTGGTCAGAATTCTAACATCACAGTTGCTCAACTATGCTCTTGGACAAGTTCCTTTCCTCTGGCTGGAGTTTCCCCATCTGTGAAATGGAGATACTGCTACCAAATGAACCTGACAGGACACTGGGAGGATCCATTATAAGCCAATGGATGTAAAAACCTACCTCCCCTCCCCTCACACTCCTTCCCAGGCACAGGAGATGGGGAGATACCCAAGTGAGCTCACCACACAGGTGTCTACAAAGCCTACAAAACCAAGCCCTTTCCTGGAATGGCCATTCCTCCTTCTTTACCCATGGAATTTCTAGTCAATCTTCCAGGACCAGCTCAAATATCATATCTTCTGTGAAGCATTCCTACTGCCCCGAGGGAAAATAAATTTCTCTCTCCCATGTACTCCTGTAATTCTTTGTCTCTATTAAATCTCTTATTTTTTTTAACTTCTATCATTATTGCCTGGCTCCTCACTGTGCTGGGGATTTGCTTGAGGTCAAGAACCAGCACGTAGTAGCTGCTCCATAGATGTTCATGAACTCAAGTTCTGTTTTGTGTGCTCCCTGGATTCTAGAGTAGGTTCTGGAGGCAAATCCTGCTGTATATACAGGATCCTGACCCTATTACTGGTTCATGTGGAAACCACAACTGAATCTATAATCTAGTCCATGGAGTCTATGGAGAAGGGCTCCCACACAGCCTGGGAGTGGGATGGCCTTGCATTCCCACTGGATCTCAGCTGCAAGCCGGTAGAGGCGGTGAGCTATGGCTAAAGGACTTCAGGAAACAGCGGGTTCTGGAAAAGCCAAATCGTGTCTATAGTTGAACGTGTGAGTTCATTAAGTGTTCAGTGACTCAATTTTCTTTTTAAAAATTTAATAGCGTCTATGTATAATATGACCCTACATTTAGCAATTCTTCCTTCCTCCTGTAATGGTCACTGAAGGCAATTTGACACTCACATTTATGCCAGGTCCCTTATCCATGCCTCACATTTTACCCCCGCAATGATATTTGAAGTAGGTAGTACTATTCCCTGCATTTCATAAATGTGGAAATTAAGGCTGAGAGAAGATAAGGAGCATGCCCAAGGTCAAGGAGACTAAAACTCAGGGCCGACGGCAAAGATCTAGTTCTTCCTAGTCAGTATGCAATGCTACTTTCTCATCAGTGTCAGGTGCTTGCCAAGTACTGCCCTAGTCCACACAAATGGATCTGACGTGTTTCCAGCCCCTCAAGAGATCTGCGTTCTGGTAGAGGAGGCTGGTATACACATAATTAAAAACCTGAAGCACAAAAAATATAACTATGGACTAGAAGTATGTGATGAATTGCAAGGGAGCCTGAGGGGGGTGTGAGCAGTTCAGCCTGGGGGGATCAGGGACAGCAGAGAAGCCTAGTCTTGGGTGACTTTATGGCTAGCCACCACTCTGATGGACAGAGAATGACGAGAGGAGAGCACACAGATGTGGGAGGCAGAGAGGACCACATGTGTGAAGGGGCGGAGGGCCAGAGTGCCAGGCGTCCTTGGGCATGGGGAACAGATCAGCATTAGCTAGGGCATGGGATTTCTGAGTAGGAGCTGGGCTGTGACAGGCTTGCTTTTGTCAAAATACTGGACTTGTTTCTTTAAGCCTTGGAGGCTGTGGACAGCCTCAGAGGAGGGAAATGAGCTGACCTGCACTGGGCAGGAGGGAGGGCCTGGGAGGATCATTTCTGAGTAGGAACTGGGAGTTAAATAGGGTCCTGCATCCTTCAGAAAGGTACTGTCAGCTCCCAAGGTCTCTGCCAGGACTGGTTTCCAAATGAGAGTAAGAGAAAAGGAGTCTCTTTCCTGTTGAAAGAGCTAGGTTGAAGACCAGAACTGCTCCCGGGCCCCGGTGCAGCGCCCCCCACAGGACTGCAGGAGCATGGCTATTCTGAGTGATGAGGCCGTGTCAGTGTCCACAGCTGCACATCCCCCGCCCCCAGAAGATGACATCTGACACACTGCCCTCTGCCAAGGGTGATGTGGGGCCAGAAAAGGAAGGAGGGGAACCGGCATCAGTCTCTGGGCTCAGCCTGCAAGGCTCAGCCCAAATGCTGGCTTCAGCACTGGAAGACTGCTTTTCCAAATTAACAAAAGATGTTCGAGATCCATGATTCCATGTTCATCATATAGCAAATGATTTATACACGGAGATTTATAAATTCTATGGAAACATAAATGACACATCTCTGCACAGTATACTGTATCTTTACATGTTCTAACACAGACTAAAACAATGTCCCATAACATATAATAAACACAAGCAACTTTTTTTTATTGTCAGCATTAGAAATACGTATTGATAATTACCAGGCACCTTGCACTGAGGATTTTTGGAAAATACTTCCATTTTTCCTTTTTATATATTTTTAAAAATATATCTTCTGAGCTCATCATGGAAAAAAAAACAAGCAATCTTTTTAGAAAACTGACCCCAAATTCTTTGGCTCTGAAAGAAAATGTAGTGCCAAATTTTTGCCTAATAAAATGACATTTTAAGTGGAATCTGAGTCAAGCCCCAATGAAGGAATGAATACTGGTTCTTTGAGTCAGCAAAAGAATTCAGTCTTTGGTATCCAACACTCCATTATTCATTGGCCTGAATTGGCAAAAGAGCTGTCAGCACTGTGGAGATGCCCAGAAAAGCAGGAGGTGGGAGGTAGGTGGATAATGAGAGAAAAACAATCTGAAATACCTCTCAGGCCAACTTTGAACAACATGTTGGGCATTTATCATCCGGAGGTGGAGGAGCTCCGCTCTCCCCTTGCTAGATACTCTTTCAGCTCATTTCTCTGTGCATGGGGTAATTTCCTGAGCAAGTGCTTAAAATCAAATGTCTTGTCGAGCCTTTGGCTCAGTCAGGCATAGCCTCCAGAGTCCCATTAAGCAAGGCCAGAGGAAAGAATTGGTTCCCCTTTATGAGATAGCCCCTCCCTGAGCCCATGCCCCTGGACGGCTCACCGGGGCCTGCGGAAGGTCAGGCCGTAGTGCTGACAGGCTAGCCCCACGGTGGGAGTGTACACGATGGGCATGAATTTCTCCACGTCTGATGTCAGCACTCGGTAGAACAGCTTCTCATTCCGGTCCTGGAGTGTCATGAGAATGATGTACCTTGGGAAGGGAGACAAGAACCAAGCTGGTCACAGGAGCCCCACAGGTGGCAACATTAAGGGCCCTTGATGCCCAGACCCAGGGCTCCCACTCAGCTGCTCACAATGGCACATTCATAGGCAAATCACCATCTCTCCTCAGCATGGGTCTCATTTTCTATGAAACGAGAATATCATCTGCCTTCTAGTACTTACTCTTACTCATGGCATAGGCACAATTCTAAATATTTTACATTAACTCATTTAAAACTCCCAGAGACGGGCGCCTGGGTGGCTCAGTTGGTTAAGCGACTGCCTTCGGCTCAGGTCATGATCCTGGAGTCCCGGGATCAAGTCCCACATCGGGCTCCCTGCTCAGCAGGGGGTCTGCTGCTCCCTCTGACCCTCTTCCCTCTCGTGCTCTCTGTCTCTCATTCTCTCTCTCAAATAAATAAATAAAATCTTTAAAATAAAATAAAATAAAATAAAACTCCCAGAGACTTGTGAGATAGGTGCTAAAATGCTGGCTATTTTAGAGATAAGCAGACTAAGGCACAGAGAGATGAAATCACTCACCCAGCTCTCATAGCAGAGTAAGGATTTGAACCTAAGCAATCTGACTCTAGAATCTCAACCATGGTGCCAGATGGCTAGTTATGTTATTACTATGTGGACATTGATGAATGACAACAGAATCATAACACGCTGGGGTGGAGTAGGGTCCAGGAAGATACCGAACACACCAGTGGTATATGAACTGGGCTTTCCCACCCCAAGGGGCCGGTTCCTATCACAACCACAGCTCACAAGTGGCTGAGTACTGCTTGGCATGCTCCAAAAAAATCTCTTTCTCACCTATTATTCCCTGAAGCCTAATATCACTAAGCCAGGAAAAGAGCCTTTCATTCACAGTCCTGAAAATGCAAAAACCCTGGGAGAAAAAAAACCCAGGGTCTGAAATTCATGATAGGGTGTAGATGACTACTGATATGACACCCTTTCTGGATAACAGTTTAGGAGAGCATGGAGGTACTTGAGCCCTGGCATGGAATGGGGTGGGAGAGTTGTTCCCGTAGGGGAATGATCCCTGGGTGTGGTACCAGGGTCCTGGATTTGAATCCCAGCTCTGTTGTTTCCTAGTTTTGTCACTTTGGGGAAGTCACATGACTTCTTGGGGCCTCAGTCTCTTCTTCCTCCCCAAAGGCACTGGTCCAGAACTAAAAATAGTGTTCAGAAGGAAGGGAGGGTTTCTGCTTAGAACAGACAGCATCTCAGCTCATTACTAGCATGAGCATTCTCTTACTCAGTAGCCATTTGTACACATCTCTTCCCAATTCTGCATTCAGTGATGTCAAATGGTAACCTGAAATCGGTCATGGTTGGGAGTATACGGGCAAATGCTACAAATCAGTGCTCCCTTGGTGTCCCAGAACCAGTTAGTAAACATTTACCAGCCTACCATGACCCTTATCCAAAAGAAGCTGGGGAGCCTCCTTAGCATTTCCCTGAGCACCTGCTGAAACAAGGGATTCTAGGAATGAGTGGGTTAGAGTAGTCAACAGAGCATCGGGAGCTAGCTCTCTGGAGTTCCCAGAATCAGGCATGACCCCCCCTGCTCCCTGGGCCTGCCACATCTTCCCTGGCATATAAGTAAGGTCTACCTAGCTGAAAAAAAAAAAAAACTGGAGAGGTAAGGATTTGGGACTTATAATTTTGAGGAAAGGGGATTTCACATTAGACTTTAATTCTTTGTAAATTTAACAAAAGAGGAAAGTTCAGGTTGTTCAAAGTTAGAGCAATGTGTAATGTTGTCAGTTGAATTCATTGTGTACTTTCTGGTTTGCTCTTCAGGGTACTAGACCTAGTATGAGTGGAATAAACAAGAGGGAAAGAGCATTTGACCTGGGCTGCAGTATGGCCTTGGAGTTAATGGGAGTGATATCCATAGTGTTCAGCCCTTCAGGAATAGAGGGCGGGGCGAATAGGCAGAGGTTTCCTTATCCCCTACCATTTAGAAGCAATGGCTACTGTGGGGGGAGCACAGGAAGGTGGGTGCAGGATCACCCTAACATGCTGCTGAGCTCTACCCCTAGGGGGCAGCCACACCTTCAACGACCCCAAGTCTTGGCCATTAAGCTCTATAGATAGGCAGGGAAACCCATATCCTCCCCCTAAATTTCTGCTGGAGCCCATAGCAAGGTGCCATATTTATTTTACAAGCTTTTGCATAGTGCCTTCTGTTATAAGTTACAGTTACTATGTAAGTGTTCTGAGCACGTTAAAATACTAATGCATTTAAGCCTAATCATAACCCTATGAGTTAGATGCCACTGATAAACTCATGGTACAAATGAGGAATGACCTAGAGAGGCTAAGTAATTTTTGCTATTAAGTGGTAGAATGAGGATTTGAACTTAGTCTGACACTAGAGTCTAGTTTTGTAGCCATTAAGCTCCAATGCCTCCAGCTATGGCAGAGCAGAGCAGTTAAAAGCAGACTCTGGAGTGAACTGTGTTCAAATACTGGCTGTACCAATTCATAGCCATGTGATCTGGGAGCTCACTACCTTCTTTAGTGAAACTGACAAAGCGGACCCTGTGATCCCTCAGTTGGCTCTTCATAGAATATCCCCCCCTGGGAGAACCCAGAGGGGCGGCAGGGTTCTTAACGGTTCCCATAAACCTCTAACATATGACATCCTAGGTCCTTTCCAAGGTGTTGGGGTGCATTTCCGCTTTGCTCCCCCCACATTCTCTTCATACCAGGGACCTGGGCCATGTACCACTTCCTCGACACACTTGTCCCACTCGCTCCCCTTCTTCCTGCTGAGCGAAATGCCTTCCATGAACCCCACCACTGTTTGCTGAAGCCTTATCAGTGCTTCTCGGGCTGACGTGGATACCACCATCTCCCAGAGGCCCAACCAGATTGCACCTGTTGGAAGCCAGTCTCCCTTCCCAGTTCTGACTGTGCCTCTGTCATAACAAGCCCCATGGCTCAGGGAGACCACCACCCTGTCGAAGGTGGGGCCGGGGCTGGGATCTCTCAGGGCTCTCAGCCTTTCCTACTGGAGAGTACCAGAAAACCCGTGTGCCACAGGAAACACCTGAGCCCTGGGCTTGGGGGGAGAGAGCAGACTCTAGGCACTGACTTGTCCAGGTCGCTCTGCTGCCGCTCGTAGTATCTCATGATCCGCAGGAGCTGGACATCCTGGCTCAGGAAGCAGGGGGGGATCAGGCCGTGGATTCCAAGCTGCAGCCTTTCTTCCAGTGTGAAGGCCATCCCCTGAGAGAACAAGAAAGAAACACACGCACATGAAGGGATATGCGTGAAACTGAGGAACAGAGAGGTCCGGTCAGCAGACAGGCAAAAGTCACTGATTCAACAGTGGGCTCTGCATTCAAATCCCACCTCTGCCAATTAAACAGCTGAGCAATCTTGTGCCAGCTACTTTGACTCTCCTGATCTTCAGCTTCTTCGTGGAAAAAAGTGGGGAAAATATCTGCATTGTCAGCTTTTGGCGGTTAGTTTTTGTTTTTTTAAGATGTGTTTTATTTTTTAGTACAATTTTTGATTTATAGCAAAAATGGGAAGATAGTACAGAGAGTTCCCCTATATCCCCTCATCTAATTTCCCCTATTATTAATATCTTATATTGGTTCAGTACATTTGTGAGAGCTAATGAACCTAGAGTGACACATTATTATTAAGTAAACGCCAGGGTTTATTCAGACTTCCTTAGTTTTTCCCTAAGGCCCTTTTTGTTGTTGTTTTTGCACGATCCCACATTACATTTAGTCACCATGTCTCCTTAGGTTCCTCTGTCCGACAGTTTCTCAGACTTTCCTTGTTTTTGATGACCCTGACAGTCTTGAGGAGTACCGCTCATGTATTTCATACAGTACCCTTCTATTGGCATTGGTCTCCTTTTTCTCATGACTCTACTGGGGTTATGGGTTTTTAGAAGGAAGACCACAGAGGTGAAGTGCCATTTTGATCACATCAGATCAAGATCCATACTCTCAACATGATTTATCACTGTTGATACCAACCTTGATCATGACTTTGAATACCGGGCTGGGTTATGCTTGTCAGGAATCTCTGCTGTAAAGTGACTTCTTTTTGTGGAACTCTTCCGCATGGGAGATTTGTCTCTTCTCCCCCATGTATTTTTATTCAATCACTTATTTATATTAGAATGGACTCATGGGTATTTATTTTATACTTTGGTTTATAAGCCAATACTCCTTTCTTTATTTTGTTACTCAAATTGTTTGTTACTCAGCTTTGGCCACTGGGAGCTCTTTCAGTTGGCTCCTGTATCCCTTTGACATATTCCCTTAATTCCTTCCTCCCTCCGCCTCTCCACTTCCCTCCTTCTACCTCCCTCCCTTCCTTCTCTCTCTCCCTCCCTCTCTCTTTTTTCTTTCTCTCTCTCCCTTCCTTCATTCCTCTTCCTTCCTTTTCTTTCTTCCTTTCTTCCTTCCTCCCTCCCTCCTTCCTTTCTTTCTTTCTTTCTTTCTTTCTTTCTTTCTTTCTTTCTTTCTTTCTTTCTTTCCTTCCTTCCTTCCTTCCTTCCTTCTCTTTCTTTCTTTCTTTCATTCTTTCTTTCATTCTTTCCATCTACTTCTTACTTTCTGGGACAGGATGCTCCAGGCTCACCTTGTATATTGCCTGCCCCAGTCCTAGAATCAGCCATTTTTCCCGATGAGGCCTGATTCCTTCTCTGAAGCATGGTATGAGAACCCAAGATCTGGGCCCTACTTAATACATGTGCTACTTACTACTGGGGTTTTATTGTTTCCAGTCCCTCTCAGCTGAAAGAGCAAGGAAATGAATCTATACTAAGGTAAACATAACTTCCTACTAATGTCGCTAATCCATTACCACATGGATCGTTTTAGCCTCATCACTTCACTAATCTGTAAATTCTCGGGGCACCTGGGTGGTTCAGTCGTTAAGCGTCTGCCTTCGGCTCAGGTCATGATTCCAGGGTCCTGGGATCGAGCCCCGCATCGGGCTCCCTGCTCAGCAGGAAGCCTGCTTCTCCCTCTCCCACTCCCCCTGCTTGTGTTCCCCTCTCTCGCTGTGTCTCTCTCTGTCAAATAAATAAAATCTTAAAAAAATAAAAAATAAAAAATAATCTGTAAATTCTCACTCCATCCGTGAGAGACTTAGCTCCCGCCACTGTCATCCATGTACTTAGTTGCTGGATTCCAGTATACATGTATCAGAATCGTTAATTTACGCCACAATGGGAAACAACTTAGTACATTGGAGTATACTGTTTACGAGCTGTTCCTCTTGCCTTCAGTCTTACAAACTCCACTTATTTCCTGAGTTACTTAGGTCAGCACTTTCCCTCCCACCCCCTTCACTGAGGTTGTATCGCACATTTATAAAACAGTTACATTCTCCTGTCACAATCTGCCTTCCTGCCTGGGATCCAACAGCCTATTAAATGACTTGAGAAATTCTGGATACATTAAGATCCATTCTTGTACTGTAAAGTTCTATGAGTTTTGACAAATGCATAATATCATGAATCCATCATTACAGCATCATACAAAATAGTTTCACTGCTCCAAATATCCCATGTGCTTTACCTATTAATCCCTCCCTTCCTTCCCCAGGACCTCTGGCAACTACTGATTTTTTTTTTTTTCACTATCTGGACAGTTTTGCCTTTTCCAGAATGTCAAACAATTGGAATCACACAGTATGTAGCCTTTTCAGACTAGCTTCTAACCATAAGCATGTAAGGTTCATCCATCCATTTTTGTGGCTTTATAACTCATTTCTTTTTTTGTTTTTTATAGATTTTATTTATTTATTTGAGAGAGAGAACATGAGCAGTGTGGGGGGAAGAGCAGAAGGAGAGGGAGAAGCAGACTCGTTTCTTTTTATCATGGGGTGACATTCCACAGTCTGTACTGTAGTTTGTTTCTCCATTTATCTATTCATCTTGGTTGCTTCCAGTTTTTGGTGACTATAAATAAAGTTGCTATAAATATTCATGCGCAGGTTTTTGTGTGGACATGAGTTTTCAAATCAGTTGAGTAAATACGTAGGAGTACAATTGCTAGATCATATGGTAGAACTATGTTTAGCTTTTTAAAGAAACTGCCAAATGGTTTTCTAAAGTGTCTGCACTGTTTTGCACTCTCACCAGCAGTGACTGAGTTTCTCTTGCCCCACACCGTCTCTAGCATTGGGTAGTGTCAGTTTTTTAAATTTTAGGTACTGTCATACTATTATTGTTTTAATTTGCAATTCCCTATTGGCATATTGATGTTGAGGATTTTTTCATATGCTTATTTTCCATCTGTATATCTTTTGGTAAGGTATCTGTTCAAATTTTTTGCCCATTTTTTGTTTTGTTTTCTTATCGTTGAGTTTTAAGAATTCTTTGATCAACAGTTTCAATGCAACCTGCATCAGAATTCAAATGGTCTCTTCTGTAGAAGTAGAAAAGTCGGTCCTCAAATTCATATGTAATAGCAAGGGGCCCTGAACAACCAAAACCATTTTTATTATTTAAAAAAAATTTTTTTAAGATTTTATTTATTTATTTATTTGGCAGAGAGAGAGAGAGTGAGAGAGGGAACACAAGCAGGTGGAGTGGGAGAGGAAGAAGTAGGCTTCCCGCTGAGCAGGGAGCCCGATGTGGGGCTCGATCCCAGGACCCTGGGATCAAGACCTGAGCCAAAGGCAGCCGCTTAACAACTGAGCCACCCAGGTGCCCCCAAAACCATTTTTAAAAAGAAGATTCTGAAATATAACACAAAGCTACAGTAATCAAAATAGTGTGGTACTGGCATAAGGACAGATAAATAGATTGACAGAATAGAATCAAGAGTTCAGAAGTAAACTCATACATCTATGGCAAATTGATTTTTGACAAGGACACCAAGTCTATTCAATGGGGAAAAGAACAGTTTCTTAAAGAGTTGGTGCTGGGACAACTGCATTTCCACATGCAAAAGAATAAAGTTGGACCCCTACCTCACACCCAATACAAAAATTAACTAAAAATGGATCAGTAACCTAAAATATAGAGCTAAAATCATAAAACTCTTGGAAGAAAACACAGGGGTAAGTCTTCATGACCTTGGATTTAGCAATGAATTCTTAGAGTGATACCAAAAGCACTAGTAACAAAGGAAAAATTAGGTAAATTGACTTCATTTAAAAATTTTCGTGCAAAAAGGGGACTATTAAGAAAGTGAACAGGGTGCCTGGGTGGCTCAGTCGGTTAAGCATCTGCCTTTGGCTCAGGTCATGATCCCAGGGTCCTGGGATCGAGTCCTGCATCGGGTTCCCTGCTCAGAGGGGAGCCTGCTTCTTCCTCTGCCTGCCACTCCCCCTGCTTGTGCTCTCTCTCTGACAAGTAAATAAATAAATAAATATCTTTCAAAATAAGTTAAAAAAAAAAAGAAAGTGAACAGACAACCTACAGAATGGGAGAAATATTTGGAAATAGCATAAGGCATCTAATACCTAGAATCTATAAACAATTGCTACAGCAGAACAATCAACAAAAAGGAACCCAACTGAAAAATGGGCAAATAAATAACTTGAAAGTACCTCTCTCCAAAGAAGATTTATAAATAGCCGATAGCACATGAAAAAAAAAATGTCAGCATCATTAATCAGCAGGAAAATGCAAATCAAAACTATAGTGAGGTACCATTTCACACCCACTAGGATGGCTGGAATAAAAGCAACAGTAAATAACAAGCGTTGATGAGGATGTGGAAAAAGTAAATACACTGCTGGTAGGAACAGAAAGTTTTGCAGCCTCTATGGAAAAATAGTTTAGCAGTCCCTCAAAAAACTAAACCTAGAACTACCATATGACCCCAGCAATTCCACACCCAAGTATATCCCCAAAGGAATTGAAAGCAAGGACCTGAACAGACACTTGTACATCAACATCCAATGCAGCATTATTCACAATAGTTTCAAGATGGAATCAACCCAACATATGAACAGATCAACAAGATGCATACGTGTATAGTGAAGATTTCTTCAAACATAAAAAGGAATGAAGTTCCGATACATGCTACTTCATGGATGAACCTTGAAAACATCATGCTAAGTGAAATAAGCCAGACATGAAAGGACAAATACATGATTCCACTTACATGAAATACCTAAAATAGGCAAATTCATAAAGACAGAAAGTAGAGATTTTTATTTTTATTTTTTTTAGTAATCTCTATACCCAGTGTGGGGTTCAAACTCACAACCCCAAGACTGTGACTCCCATGATCCACCATTGG